TCATCTACTTTATTTCTGATTCTAATCTTCTCCAACATCTCTCTACAAGAAAGAAAAAGAATGTACTTAAATTAGCCTTAATAAGCTGAAAATAGGACCAGAATTAGATGAGTCTAGTTTTAAAGCTACGTGTAACCAAATACCCTTCCTGAGAAAACAAAAAGGATGGTATTAGCCTTCACTAAATGTTAGAAGGAAAATGTCTGTGAAGAACTGAAGGAAAGAAGTATCAGAAGGAGGGAAAACTGAAATGGAAAATTATAGTCAGTAAATTACTCCATATCCATCCATGTCAGGTCCCACATCTTCAGAGGCAAGAAGGGGCCTTTTCCAAACATGAAAACACAGTTAGCACCGTGAGAGCTTAGAGAAGACAAGGAGGAAGTACACCCGTGGGGCTGGAGAGACACTCCCAGCAGGCGAGAGCGCTCAGGTTCGTTTCCCAACACTCACAACCATCCCCACCTCTAGTTCCAGGGGATCGCTTTCCTGAGCCCGTGAGCAATATGCACACACATGGTGCACAAACATACATGCAGGCAAAACACTCTCACACATAAATGAATCTTTAAGCATATCTGGTAGCTTCATAAATTGCTCTGTGACACCCACATCCTGTCTCACCTGTTGGTGGATAAGGCATTGATAAATGAATACATAGCAGCTCCATCCTTTGCACGGACAATAGCTTCCAGGTTTTCTTCTAGTACTTTTTTATTGTTTTGTACTCCTCTTAAAATCTTCGCAGCATCTTTCAGGACAGACCTTGTATTGGGTGTCTGGAGCTTAACAGGATTCTGTGGATGATCTGAAATCCTCAAGGTAACTGGAGAATGCTTTACCTTAAAGAAAACAAAGGCAGAAATGTACTGTGTTGAACTTACACTGATTGTTTTACTCTGAAGAAGGACTGGGGAAAGGGCACAGCAGTTAGGAGTGCTCGTCCAGAGGACTGGAGTTCGTGTCCTAGTGCTCACATCAGGCGGCTTACCACCGTGACCCCGGTTCCAGGACATCTATCACTCTTTATTGGCTTCCTTGGATACTCACATACATGGAGCATATATACACGCACACACACAAACTTATTTAATACAAAGAGAGCTAGCTAGTATTTTGCTGTGGCCATACACTAGAATCAAAACAGTCCAAAGTTCAGCTTGTCCAAATGAAAAGTTATTGAATACTCGGCATTCTTTTGTTTGTTTTCCAGTTACAGAAATTACTACAGGTAAGTAAACAAATGAATGAAAAAAGAAATTATTACAAATATCATATGTAACAGAGGCAGGAAATCCAGAGCAGTCCTGGGTTATCTGATCATCAATGAAAGCTCTACTGGCAAAGAAAGCAAAACAAAGTAAAGAGCAGGCTGCTCTAGATGCTGAGGCCTGGATAAACCAGGGCCATCCATCCACAACCCCCTTTCCCTCCTCCTTACAAACCTTTATTAGACAGAAAGGCACGGATAGGTGTGGTGGCACACTGCTATGATCCCTGCACTCCGGGCTCAAAAAACAGGAGGATGATCAAGTGTGAGGCCAATTTGGTTTAAAAGCAATTCCTAGGTCATAAAGGGCTATAGGTTAAGAGTGCCTCAAAAGAAGAAAAAAGAGATTAGAAAGTAGGAAATGGTCAGTGGCACAGGCTAGCCAGAGTGCTAAGTAGAAATAACTTAATTACTTTAAATAAATAAAGATAAATATTGAAAATGAAAAAAAGACACCATTTAGTAAAGGAAATAAACTGATCTGATTTGATGTTTTTTTTTCAGTGTTTTATTTTCATCTTCCTTCTGACTTGTTTTAATAACTTTTTATTCCTTCTGTTTGTTTGTATTATTACATTTTCCCAGATGTGTGTGCATACACACTATAGTTCACATTATCTGTTTGTGTTTGAGACAGAGCCCGATGTAGAACAGGCTGGCCTCAGACACATATGTGGGTCAGGATGATTTCCTCCTGCCTCCACGGCGCTGAGAGTGCAAATGCGTGCCAACATGCCTGATTTCATTCAGTGCTGGCAACTGAACCAAGAGCCTCAGACATGCCAGGCAACCACTCTGCCTGAGCTACATCCCTTAGCTCTTCCTAATTTTTAGCTTATAATCATGGATTTTAGCATTATTCCCACTTTACCTGGAGCGTGTCATTTGTTTGTTTCTTCTTCTGGCCAAGATCATGAACAACATCATTATTCTTCTGCATAGGTACTTTAGCTGTTCCTATCTCTTCAGAGGAAGGAATTCTTTGTGAATGTAAAGTTTCACTGCTACAAAAGATTAAAAAAAAATCCCAAATTGTCATAAACTCAGTAAGCATTTGTACATATGGACTTCCGCCTGTGCACCGTGGTGTGTATGGGGCCTGAGGAGGTCACAGTGTGTGTGTGAGACCCTGGACCTGGAGTTGCAGGCAGCTGTGAGCTACCACTGAACTCACTGAGCCAGCTCCTTAACCGGAGAAAACATTTGATGACATGAATCTCTGACACATTCTGAGGTGTGCACTGCTAAATAGTATTGTACTAAAATCATACCATAGATTTAATCAGTTATGAACAGAAAAATCTGATGAGACATATGCATATTGCGAAAAAGGCAGAAAAAGGTCCTGCTGAGGTGACAGACGACTCAAATTGGGATTAAAGGCATATACCATCATGCCCATCTGAGCTATCTCATTCTTACAATGCCTTTCCTAAGTTTATAGCCCTGAAAACCACTAACTTCACACCATGGAAAGAGTTAGAACAGGGGTGGAGTTTCCCTGAGTGTCAATCATCAGGCTTACAGTTATATAGCCTTTTATTTTATTTTATTTTATTTATTTGTTTTTTCGATACAGGGTTTCTCTATATAACCTTAGCTGTTCTGAACTCTTTTTGTAGACTAGGCTGGTCTCGAACTCACAGAGAGAGAGCTGCTTGCCTCTGGCTCCCTGAGTGCTTGGATTAAAGGCGTCACACTAAGCTGAAGGACAGACTCTTCTCAGGGTATTTTCAACAAGAGACAACTGTGTGGTATCTCAGGCACCTGAAGTAGCTCAGTGAGAGCAACCAAAGCAAACAAAACTGTGAACCAATAAGGAGGCATCCATAGTGAAACACTGGTAAGTTCTACCAAACTTCTGGGGCTTTGGAAGATCATGCACTCTAGAGGGCTGTGTGCATGCCCAGATAAGACCTGAAGAAGTCTGAGCCTCTCACAGGGAGCTGACTGGTGAGAGGCTCTGTCCAGGTAGGAAGTGAATACACACCTAAGAAAAGAGATTTATCAGTTCAAAGGAAGAAAGGCTGTTCCAAATCACTAACAGACTAAGCTAACAAAATAGAGACTCCAGAGTTGGTCTAGTGATGTCACTGAACAACCATTATGATCAACAACAACCTGCAAACAACAAGCCCTGGACAACTGAGTAACTGCACTACCTCCAATGCTCAGTATCCATTACAGTGTGTGTGTGTGTGTGTGTGTGTGTGTGTGTGTGTGTGTGCGCGCGCGTGCGTGCGCGTGTGTGATGCTGTGGTAATTTGAATAGGAACGTCCCCCACAGGCTCATAGAGAGTGGCACTATTAGGAGGTGTGGCCTTGTTTGGAGTAAATATGTCACTGTGGGCGTGGGCTTTATAAGCTCAAGCTAGTGTGACAATCTCCTTCTGCCGGCAGATCAAAATGTAGAACTCTCAGCTCCTTCTCCAGGACCACATCTGCCTGCATGCTGCCATGCTTCCCGCCATGACAATAATGGATTAAACCTCTGATCTGTAAGCCAGCCCCAATGAAATGTTTTCCTTTATAAGAGTTGCTCATAGCAATAGAAACTCTAAGACAGATATATGTAAAGCAATAGGAAATCATAGCCCAGATATGGGAAAAGACAAAGTTTGTTATTGAGAAAGGCCATGTATTGGACTTATTAAAAAAAATACTACTAAAGAGAAAACCAAACTCTCGCTTTTTTTGTTTGGGGGGGGGGGTGCTGGAGCCTAGGCTACCATGCATGCTTGCCAAGGTATTCTATAACTGAGCTATTTACTGTTTACTTTTATTTTTTAATCTAGTCTAGGAAATTTTGAACTTGTGACTTGGATTCCTGAGCATCTAGGATAATAGGCCTGTACTAGAATGCCCAGAATGTTAAGAATAAACTCTAGATAAATATGAGATTAAAATAATGCAGAAATTCTGAAGGTGAAACTCCAGTAACTAAAATGCATTTGAGCATGTCACACTGTGGCCTAAGCTGACCTTGAACTCAAGATCTTCAGCCTCACATTTGCTAGGATTACAGTTTGCTTGACTATGGCCAGTTTTAAATGTGAAATTAGCTACTAGAGGACCTCAATATGATATCTGAGGTCATAGAATCACAAGTTCTAAAGACAGGCTAACTGAAATGATCTGAGGTTCTTTGATGTTAGCCCTGGCTCTCAGGAAACTGGCTACATTAAGACCAAACTGTCTGAAGATGTCGCTAAGCCAGCCAAGAACTCTAGAAAATTCTGCCATGGAGAATTCAGGACAGTCCCTTTGGCTCCAGTATAGTATAATCTGGAAAGATATAGAAATATCTGTCATTATTCCAAATCATCATCATCCGCTATTTTTTGTTCCAATGAGACAAAAAGAGAGTACCTTCTACAGGCTCATAAAGGACCTCGTGATTCAGCATGAAAACTTTCTTTTGTTGCAAATGGTACTAGACTCACCAGAGGCCATTTGCAGATGAAAATCTTGAACACAGTTCCAGGCCTGCTTTCCCTGGCAAATAGGGGTCCCCATACAAATGACTATCAGTTCTTTATCACCTATTCTAAGTGTGAATGAATGAATGGGAAGCACACAGTATCCAGAAAGAACATTGATGGATTTCTAGTGATAAGAAAAAGACTTAGAAATTTCCTACAAGCCTTAGTAATAAACCCAAGCTGGCTGTGCTTGAACTGTGTGGAAGATCAGGACTCTCCTTGCTTGGATGATGTTCTTTCATCAAGTAAGCTAGACTGCCCGTATGGTTGCTTCCCTACTTGCTATAGCTGCACTTGATCAAGAGACCCTAGAAGTGGCTAAGAGTGGTGGCATACACCTTTAACTCCAGCACTCAGGTGGCAGAGGCAAGGAGGCCACTTAAAGTTCAAGGCCAACCTGGTCTACATAGCAAGTTCAGGATAGTCAGAATTACATGGACACCTTATCTCAAAAAATAAACAACAACAAAAAAAAAAAAAAAAAAAAGAAAGAAAGAAAAAGAAAAAAAAAAAAAAAGGAAGAGCGAGACAGGGAGCACAACAGAGATCCCAGAAACAGAAGATTCAGAAAGAAAATGGTATTTAATTCTGAAGTGTAAATACAGAGAGGTTTTTTATGCTAAAAATATTCAAAAGAAATTGAGCAGAGCCTCAGACATGAACACCAACATAACCAATGCCAACACAAAGCAGAGTCCTCAAAGAAAAAGAAAGGTTACAAATATCATTTAATTTTATAAAAAAAATAATAGCCCCAAACTCTCTAAGTTTAATGAAAATTAATCTATTCACCATTTAAGAAACTCAACACAATGTAAGCACAACAAACTCGAAGACAGTCATTCCTAGCTAGAAGGACAATTACCACATTCTCTCATATTAAAAAAAATTAAAGTGTACACATGTGTGGGTGTGGGTGTGTGTGGGTGTGAATAAAGGGAACCATTAGAGGAAGAGAAGGATCTTAAGCGTAGGCAAAGGAAGAGACGGTAATGGAATAATGAAAACAGAAGGGAGGCTTATTTAGAGGAAGGCAGCCAGCCAGCCAGCAAAAGGGGAACAGGACATGGGGGGGGAACTAGGGCACGGTCGTGAGGAGGGACAGTGTAGAACAAACTATCTTGACATTTATGTATGAAAATGCCATAATGACACTTATTACTTTATATGCTAACTTAAAAAAAAAAAAAAACACAAAACACACATCATAGTCAAACTGTCAAAAGGCCACAACAAAGAAAGAATAATAAATTGCAAAAGAAGAGTGACTATATGCAGGGAGTCCTCCACAAAACTGGCTCCTGGATTCTCACCAGTAACAACACAATCTAAAAAGAAACGAATGCCAGACACAGATTTTGGCATCAATTCTATAACAGTCCTTTAAAAGTAAGGAAAGGAGCCAGGCGGGGGCCTCAAGGAAGCAGAGGCAGGTGGATCTCTGTGAGTTTAAGGCCAGCCTGGTCTACAAAAGTGAGTTCAGGACAGCCAGGGCTACAGAGAAAAACCTCTCTTAAAAAACAAACAAACAAACAAAAAAACCTAAACTAAAAAAGTGAAAGAAATCATACCAGAAGGGTTGCCCTCAACAGGCCAACAAACGATGACTCATTTCACCTTCATTATGGGATTTACAGCTCTTACAAGAATGAAGCTCTGTTCTAGCAATAATAATAATAATAATAAAATAGTAGTAGTAATAGTAATAATAATAAAGTTATCAATGATCCCAAATAAACAAAATCAGAGCACATTTATATCTAAAGATGACATAAAAAATATGTAAGAACCTTTTATGGTGGGACAAAAAAACACCAGACTCTAATTTGGATCTATTTGATGAAATAAAAAGTACTAGAAGAGGTACACTATAAAGATAAATATTTAAAAATCTGTATTAGCCAGGTGTTGTAACACATGCCCTTAACTTCAGCAGTTGAAAGGCAGAAGCAGGCAGATCTCTGTAAATTTGAGGCTAGTCTGGTCTACATAACAAGTTCTAAGCCAGCCAGAGCTGCATAGTGAGATGAGATTGTGTCAAAAAACAAACACATCTGTATTTTTGTAACTTTTCTTCTGTGTCAAAACTCAGCTGTCCTGGGACTACAGAACTAGCTCAACAGTTAAGAGCACCTGCTGCTTTTGCAGAGGACCTAGGTTTGGTTCCAAGAAACCAAGTAGCCCAAATCTGCCTTTACCTTCAGGGCTAGGAAATTCGCTGTCTTCTGGCCTTTGTGAGTGCCTGCACGCACATGCACGCACACACATGCACACACGCACGCACGCACACACACACACACACACACACACACACACAGCTGCATTAAATACAGTTACCAAGATGTACTTGATCTTATAAAAATAAACCTTTCTGACCATACAGTAGAATGAAAAGGGAGAAATTTTCAAGATGCTGAAATTAAATGGGTTTTAAGCTGAACTAGGTCATTTTAAAATAGTATGTCAATTATAGCTCTCAGATAATCACTAAGAAAGTAAGGACAAATGTAGCAACGGAAACAACAAAGAACTGAAAATGGTATACTAGCAGGTATCGAATGCAAAAGAAGGCACTAACTAGGGAAGTGCAATTAAAGACTGAGACACATGAAAGGCACAAAGCAACACAGCACATGGAAAAGACACTGCGCAAAACTACACAACACATCCATATAAAGTCACTCAGATTGTGGCTTTTGAAGGTTTTTCCTCAGTACAATTTTTTAAATCCTTTTTTTTTGAAGTTAAAAATTTCTTAGGGCTTAGTTTAACTTGATGTAACCTTTTACACTTTTTTTGGGGGAGAGTTGATTGACCCAGGGCCTCATGCATGCTGAGTAAGTCTTCTAGTGTCACTAAGTTCGAACTCAAGCCTCAAAGCAAGTTGTTTGCAAAACGTCACTTATAACACAGCAGAGGAAAAGAGTACAATGAACTCTTTATGAGCCATTATTCTCAGTTACCTTCATTTAGTCTACACTCCCAATCCTCTTTCTCCTGCCTACCCTCACAGTAAGGCTGCACATCATGCTACCAGAATCAGCCCTTATTAGAAATTAAAGCCTGTATTTCTAAATTAAATACTTTAAAAGTAGTGACAGTCAAATTCCTAAAGAAATTTTTACCTGTCAGTTTTCTTAGAATTCCATTCCATTTTTGACCTAGTTATTGAGGTTATGTCTGATGATTCACTTTTTCTTGTCAAAGAATCATTACTATTCAATATCTGCTCCAACAGTCTCACATTTCCTACAACAGAAAAAAAGTCATTTTCCAAATTAAATTAGTTCATTTTTCCTTTACATTTTATCTCATTTGTACTTGCACTCTTGCCTAAATTAAGATTTTTTACAATGACTATCTACTCAGTTCACTCTGTAACAGATATGGTTCTTTGCAAGTGTCTCCTAAATTCTACGTTGGAAACCTAATTCTCAGAGTTATGTATTAGTGGCATTTGAAATGTAGAGTCCTCTTGATGTGACAGGATGATAAGGGTTTTGTACTCATGAGCAGATTACTTATCAAAGGAGCAACTTTGTTGTATTAAAGGGGCCTCAAAGGAGCAACTCTGTGAAAACACCAAGTTTTCTCTGGCTAGCTTGCTTTCTTGCCATGTAAGTTTTCTACCACACCATGACATGGCAGAGAATCAGACGCCACCCTCTGTCATGCTTGCTTGTTTTAAACAAAAAGATTTATTTATTTACTATGTATACAGTGTTCTGCCCGCATGTACACCTGCACACCAAAAGAGGGCACCACATCTCACTATAGATGATTGTGAGCGACCATATGGCTGCTGGGAATTGACCTCAGGCCCTTGGGAAGAGCAGCCAGTGCTCTTAACCTCTGAGTCATCTCTCTAGCCCTCTGTCATGCTTTTGAACTTCTGCAATAGTAAGGAAATTTAGCTTCTTTATAAATTTCCCAATTCATGAGGTTCAGTTATTGCACCTGAAAATAAACCAAGACAAAAATATAGACATAAATACACTCAGCAACTAAGACAAAATATTTTCATCTTATTAAAAATTAGAGATGCAAATATTTGTTTTATATAAGTAAAAAACCTAAACTGACCTCTATTAGAGAGTAGAGTTTTTGTCTGTGTTTCAAGTCAGGGTCTCTCTGTGTAGCCCTGGCTGTCCAGGAACTCGCTCTGTAGACCAGGCTAAACTCAGAGACCTGCCTGCCTCTGCCTCCCAGTGCTGGGATTAAAGGCCTGCATCAACCACACCCCGTTTGAGAGTAAGGTTTTTAAAAGCTCATCAAATTGGACTATTGTAGTGAGAATTTTGGTTTCTTAAAAAATCCAGTTATGTTATGTGACTATATTTTGAGTTTGTTTTTGTTTTTTTCTGGCGTGTGTGTGTGTTTCTCTGAGACAGGGTTTCTCTGTGTAGCCTTGGCTGTCCTCAACTCACTTTGTAGACCAGGCTGGCCTTGAACTCAGAGATCCACCTGCCTCTGCTTCCCAGAATGCTAGGATTACAGGCGCCATGCCTGGCTTAGTTTTTTGTTTGTTTTAATCCCAGGTGTGATATGTGGAGCTGCTTAGATGGTGCACAGCCGCTGACTATGATTTATCTCATGCTCTACAAGGAGCGTGGATTTTGCCAGCTGCACATAGCGATTCTCGTGCAAGAGCCGTGAGAGGGCCTGTGGCCTGTGGTAGCTCCTGCTGCTGCTGTTGCTTCTGGTTCCTTCTGCTGCTTTTGCTGTTGCTGGATTGCTGGTTGCTTATTGGGAGTTATTCTTATGACCAAGACTGGACTTGTCCCAAGGAAATAATCTAAAGAGATCTACATCCCCTTTGCCCTCTATTCTTTTTTCTCTCCTACCTAGTGTTAAGAGGTTGGAAGGGATTGGGGTAGAAAAGGGTAGTATGTAAAAGAACCCAATAAGGAAGGCAAAAAGTCCAGCTACAATTGGCACCTAACACAGGGCACCAGATCTAATGAGCTTTTGTTGGATTTGCCACCAGGACATAGAGGTACACAGAAGTGAACAGGTGAGAGAGAGGTTAAGAACTAGCCATGTGGGGGGTTGGGGGCTAGAATAGTCAGAATAATTTAGACAAGCTAGCTGAGAGTCTGCCCAGCCAAATGCCTAAGCTTTAAAAATATTAACAGCCTCTCTGTCATTATTTAAACCACTGGTGGGTCCGACAAAGTCCCATTAGAGACTACCTTAATATAAACCAGTAAAAAGAAGGCGTATCTGTTTTTACAACAATTCTCTGAATATCCCACTAGCCTTGTTAAGGCTACGTAATTACTTTTGGTGAGGTAATTGTCTTCTAAATTCTTAAGACTTGGTTAAAATAACCCCTGAACGCTTGAATAATCCCAAGAATAAAGGCCTACCACTTAATATTGTCATTAACTTTTACTAGAAGGGCTAAATTTTTTAATTAAATTTTTGTATATATAATAAATATAAAATAAAATATAATTCTATTATATTAATATAAATTTAATATTTTTATATTACAGTTTATTCACTTTGTATCCCAATCCCACCTTCCCTCCCTCATCTCCTCCCATTCCCTTTTCCAAGTCCACTGATAGCAGGAGGTCCTCCTCCCTTTTCATCTGACCCTAGCTTATCAGGTCTCATCCGGACGAAGGACTACATTTTAAGGCACTAGAGTGTACTAGTATTTCAGATAAAAGATAAAAGAAAAGTATTATTTTTTTTTTATTAATTAAATATCCCATTCATGAAAGGCTTAAGTAATCTGCGGATGAAAAAAATATATATATACCTCAACTACAATAAAGAATGTAAGGAAACAACTAAATACCATGCAAAAAAGTATGGAAACAGGCCACCTACAGAGAGTTTAGTTACTAACTAGGCACAGGTTTAGCCAGATATGGTGGCTCATACTTATACTCTCAGTGCTTCGGACGCTAATGCAGGACAATCACGAGTTCAAGGCCACTGGGCTACACAGTGAGTTCCAGGCCATCCTGGTTCTTGAGACCATCAAGAAATAACAAAAACAAAAGCAAAACAGCAATAGGTCTAGAGAAGGGTTGTGGTTTGAATATGAACTGTCCCCTACTGGTTTCCATGTTTGACAATTTCCTCTCTACCTGGTTGCAGTGCTTTGGAAAGTTACTGAATCTTAAGAGACAAGGCCTAGCTGGAAAAAAGTGAGTCACTGGGGACAGGCTTTGAGGTGCTATAGGCTGAACATACTTCCTGTTTGCTTTCAGCTTCCTGACTATAGTCAACATGACCGACATCTAAGCAACCTTGCCCTCACCTCCTCCCCATGCCTGGATGTATTGTTTTTTACACCATGGGCTAAAATAAACATGGCCTTCCTTCAGCTGCTTCGTCTCCGGTATTTGCTCACAGCATGAAGAGAAATAACTAATACAAAGGCGGATATTAACCGCAGTTGGTTTCCTACCTTGAGGACTAGACATTTCCATATTTTCTTTTTCTTCTACAGGGTCTTCCCTCTTCGATATTTTCCCATCCCTTGAAACAGGAACAGGAGCAAACCTTCGAGGTGCTGGTGTCTCCAAAGGAGATTTCTGTCCATCAAAATATGGATCTTCAATTTCACTTAAAGGCACTTTAACAGGAAGAATGAAAGAACATAATTAAGAGGGGCTTGTGTGTGTCTGCAGTAGTAGAGGGCTTGCCCAGCACTCATGAAACAACATTTAATTGTTCCCTAGGTTCAACGGCTCAGTACCACACCAAAAGGAATCAGCATAACATTAAAGATTAACTTCAAGGCACTTTTTTATCTGATGTAGAGGTGGGTGAATCTTTGTGAGTTTGAGGCTAGCCTGTTCTCCATAGAAAGTTCAGGATAGCCAGAAATACATAGTAAGACTCTGTTTCAAAAATTAATTTTAATTAAAAAATGTTTTTGAGCACAAATGGTAAGGTATTGTCTTGCAAGCATGGGCACCTGAGTTCAATCCCCAGAACCCACATTAAAAAAAGTTAGGTGTGGTGACATGTGCTTGGGGAGGCAGAGATAAACGGATCCCTAGAGCTCGCAAAACAACAAAGCTATTTGTCAAGTTGCAGGTCAGTGAGAAACCTGTTCCAAATGAGGTGAACTGGGCATGGTGGGGCATGACTTTAATGTCAGCACTCTGTGGCAGAGGCAAGTGGATAGCTCTGAGCTCAAGGTCAGCCTTTACATAGGGAGTTCCAGGGCAGCCAGGACTGGATTAAGAGACCCATCTCAAAAGAAAACCCTTCATACTCACTAGAAACCAAGATAAACAGGGAAAAAAAATTATATATATATATATATATATATATATATATATACACATATATATTATATATATACACACACATACATATATATATATATATATATGTATAGCTAGTAAATTAAATATCAATGTGATCATATTTGGAGTATTGTGAAAGCTATTGTGAAAATAGCATTGCTACACATTTTCCAAAAAAGATTAACATTTGCTTATGTATGGAGTATTTTGCCTATGTGTGTGTGTGCATGCGAGTGTGCGTGCGTGCATGTGTGTGTGTGGTGACTATGGAGTCCAGAAAAGGGCACTAGATCTCCTAGAACTGAGGTAATGAAAAGATGGGAGCTTCCATGTGTGTTGATTTTTTTGGCTGCGTGTGTGTCTGTACATCACAAGCATGCAATGCCTTTAGAGGCCAGAAGAGAGCACTGGATCCCCTGGAACTGGAATTATAGGCAATTAGCTGCCACGTCAGTGCTGAGAATTGAATCTGGGTCTTCAGCAACAGTAGCCTGTGCTTACACTGGGCCATCACTCTAGGCCCAGGAGACACTTGCAATAGCAAGAAAAACTAATAAAGTACCTGGCAATGTTTTGACCTAATAATCCCACTCCTAGGAATTTATCCTAAGGAAATGAGATTAAATTCTTTCCTCATTAAACCAGCATGCGGGCACACCTCTAATCCCAGCACTTGTAGTTCTAGGCCAATCCGGATACAATATAAAACCCTGCCTCAAGAGAGCAGAGAAAAAGAGGTAAGTGACATTTATGTAATATTACTCCTAAAACTGCCTAATTGCCCAACAATACAATGGTTAAGGGGGATACGGTATTTATTTGTACTCAGGTGAGTTTTCTTCTGACAAAATTGGGGGAATCAGTGAATATACAGCTTGTCAGAGAACTATAGAATAATTCAATTTTCAACAAGTGAATTTTTTTCTAAGTTTCTATGTCTGACAACTTTACAAGTTATCAATTAGAACCATAAATTAGGAATTACTATGATTCATAATTTGAACAACCTTCAAAACAGCCTAAATTTGTTTGTTTGGTTTTTGGTTTCTCAAGACAGGGTTTCTGTGTAACTTGCTCTGTAGAGCAGGCTGGCCTCAAACTCACAGACATTTGCCTGCCTCTGCCTCCCGAGTGCTGGGAGGCTGTGGTTAAAGGTGTGCGCCACCACAGCCACTGGGCCCTAAAGTTCTAGCTGAGAAAACAAAATTAAAAAAAAAATATATATATATATATACACACACACATATATATACATAAATAAAACCAAGACTTCCAAAAATATATTGACACAAAAGTGTCCTACCACTTTGTAATTAAATTTTCACCTTTTACACATGAAGAATATTCACCACTGATACATTTTATTCTCAAGAAACTAAACATTTTACCTTGTTTAGACACAAGCATGTTTTGTAAAGAAACATTGCTACCAAGATTAGGATGTCCTGGCTTTCCAGAATATGTTTCCATTGCTCTAGAAGGGGACATGCCAACATGCTGAAGACTAACAGCCTTGAGTGCAGCACCAATAAAATGGGTCTAGAAGAAATACAATTATTTCATTAATTTCAAATTATTTTCTATATAATTTGATGATATCAAATGATAAGATATATTGAGAGGGCAGGAGAGATGGCTCAGCCATTAAAGGCTAGGCTCACAAGATACACTGAGATTTATTAGCAGGCTTGAAAATGGCTTATTACATTTAACACACAATGAAAATGGGCACACTTACATTTGCAGGCAAAACATTCATACACATAAAAAAATAAATAAATTTTAAGGTATATATGAAATGTATATTTTAACAAATAAAGCCGGGTGTGGTGGTGCACACTTTTAATCCCAGCACTGGGAGGCAGAGACAGGTGGATTTCTGTGAGTTCAAGGCCAGCCTGGTCTACAAAGTGAATCCAGGACAGCCAGGGCTTGATACAGAGAAACCCTGTCTCAAAAAAACCAAAACCAAAACAAACAAAAGAAGGCTGATTTCAGAAGAAAGTTTTATAGTAGGTCATAAAAAAACTTAAACTGTTCATAGTTTTACAGAACTCATAAAAGTGTATTGAGATTCACCTACATAAAGCAGATGGTGATAGACTCAACTATTTAATTTCATTAGGCATTTGTTAAATAATGTACCTTATGGGTCATCAAGACTTCAACTTTGTAATTGAAAGATGTGTGTACACACACACACACACACACACACACACACACGAACACAGTCACAGTGAGTTCTAGGCCAGACAGGGCTATACAATAAGACTGCCTTTAAAAAACAAAAACAAACAAACAAATAAAAAGTATGCCTTTTTTTTCTTTTTTGATGAAAGGGAGAAAAATGTTTTTAAGCAAAGAGGTCGAGGCCCAGAGAAGTAAAGCTGTTTATGGAAGAGGGAACTACAGTCTGACTGAGTCATCTGGCTTCTCACTAGATACTGAACTATACACTCAATCAAGCCACACATGGGATACTTCCTAAAACCTATTGCAGGCCTATAATCAAGCCAGTAAAATATTTTTAATCTCATGAAAACTTCAAGATAAGCCCTATTAAGAAGACTTGAGGGGCTGGAGAGACCACTCAGCAATTAAGAGCACTGGCTGCTCTTCCAGAGGTCCTGAGTTCAATTCCCAGCAACCATGTAGTAGGTCGCAACCATCTATAATCGGATCTGGTGCCCTCTTCTGGCATGCAGTTCTACATGCAGGTAGAATACCATATACGTAATAAAATAAATAAACCTTAAAAAAAAAAAAAAAAAGACGAGAAATGGGAATACAGAAACTAATAAAAATCTTGAAAATGAAAGCATTTAATAAGCACTTATATTTTATACACTCTTCTGAGTGCTACATTTTAATATAACTTTTAAAACTTCAAAATTATGCAATAATTAAAAAGACATGTAGGAGTTGCGGGGATGGTTCAGTGCTTAAGTGCTCTCCCTACAAGCGTGAGGACAAAAGCTCAGATTCCCTGAACCCCAGCAAATGCTGAATTCCAGCCTGGAAGATGGAACCAGGAGGTCCCAGAGCAAGCTGACTAAAAAGACCAGCTGGAACAATGAGCCCTCAGCCTTAAAGGATCAGGTGGAAGACTGAGTGAGGACGAGTCCGCATATCAACCTCAACATATACACGATACCCACATGCATGCCCTTGAGAGACCAAGAGCAGAACTAACTCCATCTTGTTTTTCAGACACCATTTTGAATGGCCCTGCCCTTTAAGTGATCCAAGTTCTCCCACCAGGGACTTGGCAAGTAAAAAAACCCATAAAAGGAAACTGGCAAGTGAAAAATCACAGGAGGAACTTGGTAAGAGCAAATAGGCCCACTGGAGGAACTTGGCAAGAATAATTAGGCCCTGCACCTGGAGCCAACCAGTGACATAAAAGTACATACATAGTTCTGGGTCTTGCCCAGGTAAAGGTATTTCTTTTTCAATAGCCTGATTCCCCCTTATGGTTTGGCCAACTGGCCCAAACCAATCAACTTAAAGGTCAATCTACCTTAACCTACTCCCTTTCCTCTTACCCAATCCTGTACTGACAATGCTTAGAATTCCTCACTTGCGGTTTTTCCCTTTAAAAACTCTACCCTCCCTAAGCTTGGGGCTGCTCTTTCTGAACTGCTGAGTCAGGGATGATTGACAGCAGAAGCTGAAGCTTGAATAAAGACCCTTGTGTATTTGCATCAGATTCATGTGGTGGTCTCTCGGAGGTCTTGTGATATGAGCATAACACCCTCACACATGCAACATACACAGAACTGAACATACAAAAAGAAATGTAGCCAGGTGGTGGTGCCTCACATCTTTAATTCAGCACTTGGGAGGCAGAGGCAGGTAGATCTCTGGAGTCAAGGCCAGCCTGGTCTACAGAGCAAGTTCCAGGACAGCCAAGACTACAAAGAGAAACCGTGTCTCAAAAAAACAAAAAAAAAAAAAAAAGAGAAAGAAATGTAAATTTACAGTGGTTATATATTCCTACTTAAAAACTGTTTTGGATTTGGGCAGTGTTCCAGAACTTAGAAATTCCAAAATAAAAGTTACTAGCTATTTGTGAAGATAGTTCTTTTAATATTGTCTCAATATATCATACTCAAAAGATATGAATAAATTAAATGCAGGAACATTTGTAGGTACCATGCACCTACTATACACAGCATGTAGTTCTGTCTATGGGAGCATCGGAATCATGAGGAAGCTTTCAACAATATACAACCACCATCACAGACCTGCTCTTCTCCACCAATCTCCAAGACATTCAAGTACCTGTATTTTTATAAAGCTCTCCGAATGGTTCTAATGCATATTCACAGACTTGGAGCTGCTGATGTAAACAAATCACTGCTTTAACAATAAGTTACCGAACTGGGAAGAGGACTCGGTGGGTAAAGTGTATTGTGAGCATGAGGACCTGAGTTTGGATCCCTCACTAGCTGGGCACAGTGGTCTGGTCAGAGGAAAGGGAGCAGAGGCAGGTGCATCACTGGAGCTTGTTGACCATCCAAGCTAGGATTGGTGATCTTGGGATTCAATGAGACTTACTCTCCAAAAACAAGGCAGAGGTGATGAAGGAAGACATCAACATGGACCTCTGGCCTCCACATGAACACAAACACACACACACATACACAATACTGCCAAAGGAAGAAAAGCCAGCTCTAAGGAGGTCTCATAGCACTAGCCATAAATAATCTAGAACATGCCAAGTAATCACACAGCGTAAAGAATAATGAGCAAGCAAATCATGACTTAAGAAATCAAACCATCAAAACCTAGTGAGCTATTACAACTATCAGTTAACACTGAGTTATATTAAATACAAAAGGATTGTAGAATGTGCACCAGCTTTATCATAGATACCTGAATATCTATTTGTTGTTGCTGTAATTTTTCAAGGTGCTTGATGTGTTGCTCCATAAACACATTCATCTGCTTCTCATGATCGTAACAATGTAAATTCTCTTGCTTATTCTGAATGCTTGTTTGTTGCTCTGCCGCACGCTGTAACTGTTTATCAGTCTCCTGTAACTTACTCAGTAATTCTGCAACAGAATTAACTTTTGCTTCCAAATCACTCTGCACCTAAAAAAAATATAAAAATAGTATTTCATATTGTAGAAAGACATCAAAGAGGTGTTCAAATCCTACAAAGGTTATTTATAGCAATTATAAATTATAGCAATTGGTACTGAGAAGGTATAAGCTTGAACCTTTGCTCATTGAATTTCTCATGATTCAATGCCTTTGTTTTTAGAGTCACAAAATTAAGAGGCAAAACAGAGTAATCCTTAGATGTGTTTTGTTTCATAAACTATACATGCATATAGATGTACATATATACACCAATAAGCCAGAAAAGAAAATTCCTAAAGAGAACAAAAGAGCAAAACAAAGTAGCTTTGGATGCTACACATGATGGCATGCATGGAGAAGACAAAGCCCTGAGTAAATGTGTATTGTTGGCATGGGCACAGCTGTGACAAGGAACAAGGCCTTTGACTCATGGGAAGCTAGCAAAGCCTTCTTCCTTTGACCTAAATTGAGCATTTACAGAGGATTAATCAGTGTGCTAAGAACAAGCCAGGGGCTGGGGGGGCAGAAACAGGCAGATCTCTGAATTCAAGGCCAACCTGGTCTACAAAGTGAGTTCCGAGATAGCCAAGGCTATGTAGTTGTAGAAACCTGGTCTTGAAAAAAAAACAAAAGCAAAACAAAGCCTAGCAATTGCAGCTTCCTCCCCCTGGATGTTCAGTCTGAGCCTGCTGTCCTACAGACTTTGTACTGAGGCCAGCTAAGCCTCTTCCTGAGCTGTGCACAACCCACATGCTGAGGCTCCAGGTTATGGTGGGAGGAGAGGTGGCTCTGTGAGCATGCACTCAGCCCATGTGACCCTCAGCTTTTCTGTGTGTGTGTGTGTCTGTCCTTGCTTCATTCCTGTAACATCCCTTGTCAGAGTTCCAGACTCCAGCTGCACAATGCCACATTCCTGTAATCACAGAAGGTGTTTAAATTCAAATACAGATAGGAAGATCCTGTCTCAAGAAAGACCGACATAGGGATGAAGCTCAGTTAATGTATGCTTGCCTAACATGCATGAAACCCTCAGTTCAAGTCCTAGCACTGCACAAACAGGAATGATGGTGCATAACTGCAATGCCAGAACTTAGGGTAGAGGAGGATCAGGAATTAAAGCTCATCCATGGCTACAGAGCAAAGTGAAGATCAGCCTAGGATACATGAAACTGTCCCAAGAGAACCAAACGCCAAAACAGCTTTTGATACTTCTCTAATGAAAGGCTGGGGAAGGACAACAACTTTGAATCTCAGTCTTAACTGTTTCCCATTAATTCTGAAATTGCATGCTATCCTGATCTATTTCTGTGTCCCTATTACAAACTGACAGGCTAGTCATGTCTGGTATGATAAGACCACATAAAATCCTCTGGTTCACTCGGAGAACAGGTCTCTAGCAGGACAGGTCAGTGTGACCACACTTGCCTATCACTGCATAAGGACCCCGGTTATTCTCAGATATCCAGAACGTGGACTTTCAGTGTTACAGTGAAAATGCCCAGGTCTTTCTGGCTAACACATTCACGGGGGCAATTTTCACAGCTTCTGAGAAACAATTCACAACCACAAATGAAGCCTTTCGAATTGGGAACAACTGGAATGTCTCTAAGCGTACAGTCAGACATAGCCATTTCAGAGCCAGCTCTTAACAGACAACCTTGGACCTCAGTGTGCAGGGATATCCAGGATGTACCTTTATCAAAGGTGCTGCTGTCGCAATGGCAGCAGCAGTTGCTGCAGCCACAGTTGTAGCTGAATCAGTTCTGTTGGGTAAAGGTTCAGTCTCCTGAGCAACAGCATTCTTTTCCACAGCTGTGTCTTCTAGAAGATGTACTTTCACCTCCTTAAAAACAGGCATGCTTTGAGCTCTTTAAATACAAAGAAATAAAAATTTTCAGTACTGTACATTGATTCATTTGAAGAAATGCCTACATGCCCTGGCCTGGGAAACTCCTAATGTGGCTTTCTGGATTTATCTTTTAAACTTTTATTTATAGTTATGCACAGCATGTGTAAGAGAGCATATATATGTACACATGAGACAGGAGCCCTTGAAAGCTGGAGGCATCAAAAGTCCCTGGAACTTGCATTGTAGAATGTTGGTATAATGTTCGTATAATGTTCTTGTGGAATGTACACACTTTACCCTTGTTCATTCAAATGCTGATTTCTCTCTCCCACTCTCTGGTTTCAATCCAGACATTGCATTGTGATGCTTAAACATCACCTGTCTCAACTTCGTGTAAACATGCCAAAATAAAGCATCTAGCCACAATGTTGAGCAATGGAAAGGAAGCATGGAAGAGAGGGAGGAGCCAGAGGACAGGAAGGTGGGAGGTAGAGGAGGAGAGAAGGGCAGAGGAGAGAGCTGGAAGAGCAGAGGTGGGGAAGAGGTCTTGGAACGTGGAGAATGAACCGGACCTAATATATCACAAAAAGCAAGTATAATGGGTTAATCTAAATGTTAGGAAACTATGAGGGCTTGGAGGTTTAGGATGGAGTAACTATTGCCCAGCATTGTGTTCTAGGTTAATTAAATAAGTCATAGTCTTTGTGTGGTGTTACAGCTGTTTAGCATTAACCACAGCTTTAATAAAAGATACATCAATAGTAAATATTAATCATCACCTACAACAGTGGAAGATTATGCATTGTCTGATGTTGGTGCTAGGAACCACTTAGACTTCTGCAAGTACAGCAATCATTCCTAACAACTGAGCCATCTCTCCAGCTCCATCTTTTGTATTTTATTTTATTTTTTTAATTAAATCGGGGCTAGTGAGATGTCTCAGCAGTTAAGAGGACCCAGGCTCAATTCCTGATGCCACCACAAGGTGGCTCACACCCACCTGTAACTACAGTTCAGGGGACTCGATGCTTCTGACCTCTGAGGCTGCCAGTACAGGCATGCAATGCAGGCAAAAATATTCAAACATATAAATAATTTTAAATGATTATTAAAGTCATTTAGTTAATATTATTAAGTTTAGGTCACTAAAGACTAAAGAAATAAAAATTTATCCCTTGAAAGCAGTAACACTATTTTTGAAAATATGACTCACACATGACAACTGCATAGCCACAGTTATAAAGACAGATAATCAAGAAGTACAAATGCAAAGCATAAGAATTCTAAGAATTCGAATACTAGTTTAATTCTCAAAGGCAGGAGAACTGCATCTGTTTCTAAGAATTAATTGTATTCACCAAACACTCTTAGAAGGATTATAAAATTAAGGGCTGGGGATATAGTTCAGTAGGTACATGCTTACACGCATGATGCCCTGATTTTGAACCCCAGCACACACACATTTTAAAAAAGAAAATCGATGGTGCCTACCACTGCAGTCCATATTCGGAGATCCCACATCCAGGGTCTAGCCTGGTGAGTACCCACATACACCCAGTAGTTGTTATTCCACATCCCACCAGATCTAGCTCAGGTCCCAAAGCCAATGCCTGAGACTAGTCTGGCCACCTGCGCCTTGCAGCAATGACCTCCAAGCTTCCCCGGGGGCCCCAATATCCTGAATCCATACCTAGTCTCACCTGAACTGGGGCCAACATTTTAACTCCCACCTGGACGCAACCTACCTGCATCTACCCATAGAACCATTTGTGCCGACTCCACCACCCCCTTTTATAACATCCTCCCAACTCCATACCATGTCCTCCTCCAGGGTCTAGCCTGGTAAGCACATGACCTTCACATCCAAGTCTTCTCTGTATTCTACCAGGTTTAGCCTGGGTACAACAAAACAGTGCATCAACCTAATCTGGCCTTCCTGGCCTTCCCAAGAGAAGGGCTCCAGGCCTGGGCCAGGGCTCCTTCTACCTATCCACCATACCACATGACCCCGCCACGTCCGCTCAGACCTCCACACTCCTAGCTTGGAACAGGAAGCATCCTATTTACCAACCCAGTCCCCTCTGACCATTGGACTGTATTTCCACATCCTCTTCTCCCCCACCCTGCTATATTCATAGCAAACTTAGAACTAACTTAAAGGAGTCTACATGCTCAGCTCTCACTGAGGCATTACCAACAATATGAGACACTAAGTCAGTGTCTTCTCTCCAAGACATAACAGTCCTATAGAAATGCTTGCCAATGAGAATTACCTAGGTGACACCAGGACACAGAATTTAAGAGAGCAATTAAAAAGGTTACCAAAAAATTCAAGGAGAAGCCGGGCATGGTGTCAAATGCCTGTAATCCCAGCACTTTGGGAGGCAGAGGTTCTCTGTGAGTTCAAGGCCAGCCTGGTCTACAAAATGAGTCCAGGATAGCCAAGGCTACACAGAGAAACCCTGTCTCTAAAAACAAAAAAAACAAAAATCAAAAACAAACACAGAATTCAAAGATTTCAAAGAAGACACAGAAAAACAGATCAGTGAAGGCAAGGAGAAAGAATTTAAGTAGAATAAACACAAATGTAAGGCTAATGGAAATGGCAAACATAAGCCAGCATTTGAAAACAGAATTCAGTAAAGAGACAGAAGAGGACTCAAGCTAAAATAAAGATGGAACTGAAGAACCCAATAGCCCAACTCAAAGGAAACCCTTACAAGCGGGATGAATCAAGAAAAATATAGACTATCAGGTCTTTAAGTTAAAGTAAAGGATTGTAGACCAAAGAAATAAGGAACATAAAAAATTAAAACAAGAAAAAACCCACAGGAAAATAACACATAGGAAATATGGGACACCATGAAAAACACCAAACCTTCAAATTATAGGTATAGATGAGTGAGAAGAAACCCAAATCCATAGCCTAGATCTTCAACAAGATCATAGAAGAAAATGTCCCCCAAATAAGGAAAGTGTGGTGGTTTAAATAAGAATGTCCTCTGCAGGCTCATATATTTGAATATTCAGTCAGCTGGGAGTGGCACTATTTGAAAGGACTGGAAGGATTAAGAGGTTTGACATTAGTTACCTGGGTCACGGGGTCTCTTCACAGAAATACAACAGCAACTAAGCCAGAAAGACACACACATATAAATACAAGAACACAGAACACCAAATAAACAAGACCAGAAAAGAAAATCCCCAAGGCATATTATAGTTAAAACACTAAGTATCCATAACAAAGAAATGTAATGAAAGCTACAAGAGGAAAAAATGCAAAGGAAAACCCATCAGAGTATAACAGTTGATTTCTCAATGGGAATTTTGAAAGACAGAACGGCCTAGAGCAATGCATTCCAAGTGCTAAAAGACTGAATATGCTCAGCTAAACTATCTGCCAAAATTGAAGAAAAAGAAAAACTTTCCATGACAGAAACAGCTTTAAAAAATAAATATTCAAGTGTGGTGGTTTGAAAAGGTATAGCCTCCACAGACACCTGTGTTTCAACTGAATGCCTGGCCCATAGGGACGGCACTATTAGGAGGTGTGGCCTTGTTGAAGTAGGTGTGGCCTTGTTGGAGAAAAGTATGTCACTGTTTCATACACTCAAGCTCTGCCCAGTGTGGCACACAGTCTCCTTCTGCTGCCTGCAGATCAAGATATAGAACTCTCAACTCCTTCTCCAGTACCATGTCTGCCTGCATCCCACCATGACAATAAATGACTAAACCTCTGAAACTGTAAACCACCTCCAATTAAATGTTTTCCTTTATAAGAGTTGCCAGGGGGGGCGATGGTGGCACACACCTGTAATCCTAACACGTAGTAGGTAGAGGCAGGTGGAGCTTTGTGAGTTCCAGGACAGCCTGCCTGTTCTACAGAGTGAGCTCCAAGACACCACTTGACAGAGAAACTTTGTTACTCTAGGACTATACAGAGAAACTTTGTAAAAAAAAAAAAAAAAAAGAAGAAGAAGAAGAAGAAGAAGAAGAAGAAGAAAGAAAAGAGAAAGAGAAAAAAGAGAGAGGGAAGGAAGGAAAGAAAGAAGGAAGAAGAGTTGCCACGGTCATGGTATCTCTTTACAGCAATAGAAACCATAACTAAGACACCAACAAATGAAACCTAAAGAAAATACAGAAAGCATTATTTCGGACTAAGGAGAGGAATAATCATAGCAGAGTGACTGTGGAATGAAATATAAAGCCATTTTACTAAAACACAAAATGAAAGAGCAATAAAATTAAATTTAAAAAAAAGCTAGACATAGTAGCGCATATCTTTAATCCCAGCAGAGGCAGGCAGATCTCTGTGAGTTCAAGGCCAGCCTGGTCTACAGAGTGAGTTCTAGTACAGCCAAGGCTACACAAAGAACCCATCTCAAAAAACAACAAAACAATATTTAAATTAATAACAACAAAACTCTAGTAAATACATAAGGCCATGAGACAACTCATTACTAAACAAAGAATGGGTCAAAGAAATAAAAAAAACTTCTTGAAACTAAATAAAAATGAAAAATACAACAGAACAAAACCTCAGGGACACACTGAAAGCAGTCCTATTAACCTATAGGTTCATTTTAGCTCTAAGGGCCTATATTAAAAAAATTCAGAAAGAACACAAATAAATGACTTAGTGAAGCAGCTCAAAAAGAAAAACAAGAACAAACCAAATTCAAACTTAGTTGACAAAAGAATAAATAAAAATCACAGAGAACTCACTTAAATAGAAACAAAGAATCAACAGGTCTACAACATAGTTCTTTGAAAGATAAACAAAACTGACTGACCCTTGGCCCAACTAACCAAAAGAGAGGACCTAAAAAAATGAACAGGGAAACACGACAACAGACACCAAATAAATTCATAATATTATAAGGGAATATTTTCAATTAATATTTTTCCATGAAACTGGAAAACCTAAAAGGAATGAACTTCTTCATTTAGACAAGCCACCAAAATTTAACCAAGAATAACAACTGAGAAGATTGAAATAGTAACTAAAACCTTCTCGCC